GACAACCACTCACCTTGAGGAGCAAGGACAGTGGTGAAGACTTCAAAGTGTTCATTGCTGTGCATGTAGATGCGCTGCATCTTGAAGATCAGACACTCGCACGCCGGCCCCGAAGCTGCTGCTCTGCCTCTGCACTAAATGCAGCTGACTAATCCACTGCAGTACTGACTGGAGCCGGACCTGGGAGACAACACGTCCCTCCTTGGGCAATAAAAAAAAACACACACACACAAGGACGTACAGCACAAGCACGTACAGCACAAGACGCAAAAAAACCACTCAATAGTTTATTAAAGAGATGATTATTAGACTAATGCACAGTGTTTCTTAGTGCTTAAGATTCAATTTGACCGATGGAAGGCGACGGAATAAGAGGTGGTCCTTGGTGTCAGAGATCACGCTTGACCACCTCATCTTCATGCCAGTGCCTATTGTTCTTTGACCATCTGGTGACACGCGAGGGAAGTTGAGAGGCCGCCGCTCGCCTCCACATGGGTGAGAATTCATAATTCCACCTCGTCCGGAGGGCTTGATTGATTTATGGTTATTGAATGTCCTATTTCCAGTGGCATGGGTGAGCAGGAACAAAGAGGGACAGGCTTGGGACGAGGTGGTGGACTGCTCAACAGATGGTGATTGAACCGCTCCACTCTCACACACGCGCACACACACACACACACACCTCCCCTCTCCTGCTCTGGTGCGCCGGAGCTTGGCTGTGAGCTTATGTCAGTGATTAAAAAGCATCCATCAATAACACGAGAAATCACTTGGCCAGACAATCACATCCGAGCATTACAAGTTTGCTGCGAAGCTGCCGCCATTATGCATACTTTTTTTAAACTCTTAACGGCATAAAGACTAAATTAATTCTATAAAAAGAAAAATTAAAAGCCACCTAGGAAATGGGTGCATTTTATTTATTTGAGTAAACCAGAATCGTGGCAGGATGGCCGTGCATCAGATTGTGTGTTTGTGCACAAAGTGAAAAACGAGGGCAACTGGATGAGAGAACTGATTAACCTTCTTGTCTTTGGCCAGAGCTTTAGTGCTAAATAACTTGGTTTGGACTCAAAGAAGGCTTCACGAGTAGCCCAACCTTCCGCTGCTAGTATTATCTATTCAATGGAGTGACAGAAAATGATGTTTAAATTGTCGGCTACATCTTAATATGTCCTCGGGTTGTGTCTAACAACGTGGGATGTGGGCTTTTTGGCAGTCTCAACGCGTCCGTCTTACTCCTGATTCAGTGTGATGTCTCCAGGCTAGACGCCGAGGCCAAAGCAAAGCCTCTATATAAGCAAACATCACAGCTTAGACGCTCAGAAGACCGATCTGATGGTTACGTCTGGGAAGGAGAACACACACACACACACACACACGAGCACTGAGCTCCTTTCATCATCTGCTGGACCAACCAGAGGAGCCATTGAAACGTACACGACTAACTAAAAACAAAACGCTGCTGTGCATCAGTTTAAGCATACGTTAGTTCATCAAACACCTGGATTCCGTTTATAACACATTTAATCTGCTGCTAAATTTATGTCAAGTTTGCTGCGGTTTCCTTAAAGCAGACTGATATAATACAAATGAAGATTTTCATAGATGTTAAAGCTTTCAGCATCAACGTTCTATAACTTATTACCTCCCACCACGGCGCCAAAAATGGCAATCTGACACAATTTTAATTTATACACCGTGAGTGGCTGCACAGCTTTTAGGAAGGTGTAAATGTTTTTTAAGAAGCCTCCGGAAATCCTACTCCATTTGGCCGCTGATGGGTTCGTGCATAACGGGTCAATCATGACCAGATGAAAACATTTCTCTGCATTTTGCACTGTGATTACTGGTTACTTACAAGATGTAAATAGTAGTTTACTGTTGCTTATATATATATTTAAAACACTGTTTAATGATCACCAACAACTAACTTTAAAAATGTCATATCTGGCGTGCAAATCCTGTTAACATACTGTTAAGTTATTGACATGTCTAAAATCATTAAAATCAAGTGAATACGTTGCGCGTTTCTGTTGCGTTGCTATCGGTTACACCAATGCTTTTCTTCCCCATCACATGTTTAAATGGTTCCATTTGCCTGACATTTTATTAAATTAATCATTTAAAAAAACTAAAAACAGGGACAAAAACAGAATATACTGATTTTAATTTTCAAAATGATAATCACACATATCAAAACAGGCCGACCTCCGTGAACGCTGGGACGGAGGCTCACAGATGACAGTCAGCCACAACCCCTCATTCACAGACATGAATCAAAATGTCATCTTTGCATGTTGCATCTTTTATGTCCAGTCCGACTGTTGGAGCGGGACACAGAGTCCTCATTGCTTCCCAGGTTTGCCTCTCCTCTTCCCCCCTCCTCCTACTCCTGCTTTGCCTCCTTTTCCTTTACCCCCCTGGCCTCCTTTCCCCTTACCCCCCTGGCCTCCTTTCCCCTTCCCACCCTTCCCCGACATGCTGCCCTGGCGTCCCTTCTTGCCCCCCTTCTTGTATTTGGCCACGGCCTCCTCCCGGTTCTCCTCTCGGATCTGCTTGGCGACGGCCCTGTTGATGTCCAGCTTGGGCGCCTTGCTGCCCATCAGCCGCAGCATCTCCAGCTGCTTCTTCTTCTCGCCGGAGAAGTCCCCGATGTTGGGCTCGAACTTCCTCTTCTTGCCCGTGTTCCTCGGGGGCTTTTCCCTGGGCAGGCGGTCCTGGAACCGCCCCATGGACGCCGTGGAGGTTCTGGCCACGCTCACGGCCACGGCCAGGTCCTCTTTGGGCTGCTGGGCCCGCGGGAGGAGCCCCACGCCGGGCAGCTTCACCTTCTGCGCCCGGGCGATGTTCTTCAGCCGCTTGAACTCGTTTTTGGCCACGCGCTCCTTCTTGGCCGCGGTGCGCTTGGCGAACTGGTCCTCGTTGGGGTCGGCGGTCACCGGCACCTCGATGAGCCACTCCTTGGTGTCGTCCTTGGCCCGCTGGTAGCCCCAGCGCCGCCGCCAGTCCTTCGCGGTTTCATCCCACACCAAGTTGGTCTTCTTCCGCTTCTGGATGCCCTTCAGCTTGGCGAACTCTTCCCATTTGGTGGGCGCCCTGGGCTTCGGCGGCGGCTTCTCGCGGGGCAGCGCGGTCACCGGCTCCGGCAGCTTGGTCACTATCGCCTCGTCGACTCTCTCCGACGGCTGCTTCCAGATCTCGTTGACGAGCAGCTGCGTGTTGTCGCGCGCCAGCGACCGCAGGAAGTCCTCCTTCTTCTGCTCGCGGAAGTCGCGGGACTCGATGCGGTTCTTGTCGATCGCCAGCAGGTTGCCGATGTCGAACTCCAGGTCCAGCTCCTTGTGGACCGAGATGCTCTTCAGTTTCTCGGCCTCGTCTCGCTCCGCTTTCGCTAGCAGCGCTTCCACGCTGCACGCCGCCATGTTGCCGAGCTGCTGTGTGTCGTGCACGTGGGACGGGGGGGAAAAAAATACAGGCTGCGTCACTTCCGGGTCGCAGTTTGCGTGGAGAAATACCCCAAACAGCCACAAGAGGTGGAAGTTGCTCCATTTAATTTGTTGTGTGGCTTATCAAGTTAAAAGGAAACTATTTAGACTAGGAACTACTATTCATAGCAGTAATGGGATGACAATATCGTGCAAATAAGGAGTGAATCCAAAATATAGATACTCTGCAACTGTTGCATGAGAAATCATCCAAGATGCACTGATCTGTAAAGTAATAAAGAAGAAAAACACCATAATAAAAGTGTTGAAAGAATTTACAATATAGAAAAATATCACTTTATCAAATCTCAGCATCTTTGGGATCCCTTCAAAATGTTTCAAGACAATACATTCCTGGCTAAATGTGATTATTCAAACTATTTCTAAATAACACAACGTTGTGCATTGTTGCTGTACTGCAGCCTCTGAGACTTGAAAAAGGTTAAAAATATTAAGATTGTGTGACAAAGCCTTGCAGTGCCAGGACACTTAAACATAAAGGCTGAAACCCATACGAGATATGTAATAATATGTGACACGCTGCACATCATTTTAAAGTGATGCAGTTTTGAATCCTTTTATAATTGGATTAATTTGCAAATGTTTTCCTGAGATTTCAAACTCACTGAAGTATAAATAGTCTTCTTTGTCTCATATATTCCGTAGGTATTCCTCGCATAGATTCACGGTGCCATTAACTCGATTTTTCTCCCGGTCTCCACTAATTTGGAGGAGACGAGGAGGGGGAGGACAATTGACTGGCTGGCTGGTTGCTTTAAAGACGGTGTTATTATTTTGGGCTCCAGTAATTACATTCATCGCCACACTTGCCATGTGAATGCTAACACTCTGACAGGCAGTGAGATAAGGTCACAAGTGATGCTGTGTTTGGAAATGCGTAATTAGTGGCCTCAAGTCCCTGTTGTGATTAAGAATAGGCTTTACGGCTCGCTGTGGTGTGAATCTACATCATCTAAAAGCCCCCAATTTAAACATGTCCGCCAGTTGGCTGCTGGCGTCACAGAATGTGTCACCCACCGTCTCCACAAGTGTTCAAGGGTTTTATGGAAAATTTTGATCCAGCGTGAATCCCGCCCAAACAGGATTACTTTTCTCTGGTGTTACTTTTTTGGAGGAATACACAGCAGGCCGGATGAAGTTTCTCTGTGAGCTGTGACCACGGTGCAAAGTCATTCACACTCTCAGTGTCTGTGTCTCCACAGCTCTTAAATGGGCTTAAAGGATAAGATTAAGAGAAAATAATTTCCTCCATAACGCATCTCTGCTTTCATGTGAAAAAACCCCTGCAGAGATTTTGATTTTTCCATTGGTCACTTTCAGTCAAAGTAGGGCGAATTTTTCTTTTCATTCCGAGATTTTAAATTGGCATTTTGGACACTCCGGATGGTTTTAGTCTGCGACATACTGTCTGCACCTGTAGAGCTTTTCAGTTAAAGAAGCAATGCCGTCGTGTAGAAACACTCTGTTAGAAGTAAAAGTAATCTTAAATTTAATTTAAGTAAAAATATGAAAGCATTGGAAGTAATCACTCTGCAGAATGGTTCTTTGAATAGTCAAACAGATTATAATTACTGATGCATTGACGCAATACATTTTATGGTGTAACTGGTAAAGGTGGGGCTCATCTTATATTATGCAATGTGCACGGCTTTATTTACAAACCACCGTGTTGATTGTCTTTTGTTAAATTAATAATCTAAATCTGCAATGTAATCAAAGCGTCATCCGAACTAAATGTACAGAACATTTCCTATGCAATACAGTGGGGTTAACGTTTAAAGTAGCAGAAAATAGAAACACCCAAATCAAATTCCTAAAAACCTAAAAATTATAGTACTCGACAAAGTCATCATCTTTCTCTTATCAATTCTTCGATTTCAATGTATTTTATGGGGTATTTTGTTAATGTGACTGTTACAGCTATACTGTTCCATTTTGGAGTGGTTTCTACTGTAAAATATCTAATGTTTAGTAAAGGCAAATAAACCCAATGAAATACATCAATTCCAACCTCAATCCCTTTAATTTTGGAAAGTCTATAATTCATGTCTGCCAGTTGACATTTTTCCAGGATGCTCATATCTCAGCTGTATCTGCAAAAAGCCCCCTCAGTGTTTACCTTTCCCCTTTTGTATCGTAGAATCTTAATCCCTTCAACACAAGATAACTTCTTAAATGCAAAAGAAACTATTTTAAAAACATGCATTTCCAGATACAGGAAGTGGTTGCCTTAAACATTTCTAATCCAGCTAAATAGCACTTTATTTCATCAGTCACAACCACATAAGTGAAGCCAATTGCCATCCCATCAGCTTGAAATAGATCAATGACTGAGATGTATAATGAGGACTCTAAGCATCTTTGCATATTTGTTTTATGAATGAAAACATTTTGTGAATGGGTTGCAGAGCAGGGAAAAACCCACAACTCTAACAGGATCAGTGGTGTGCATTACTCAAAGGACTACAAAGACCATTCATGCAACTTATTATATATTTATAGAATGAAGCACATGTGCAGTTACAATATTTGCATTTTTTCACTGATATTTTAAGCTTTTGCATTCTATATTCTGCACCTCTTCACATAGAACATTTTAGTCATATCAGTGCTCGGCACTTTTTGTCATTAAATACATACTTACTAAATGGTGCCAACAACAATCCGTTAATCACAGGGTTGAAGGAAAGGACATTCATTGATGCAAAGACCAGCCACAGCCTTAAAACTTCCTACTCCTTTAAAAAAAGTTGACCTGTTAGCATCAAAGACGAGGTGAGAGCGCTGGAGGGAAAGTTATAAAAGGAGGGCGAAACAATCTCATCAGCATCATCCTGGCATAAATCGGACGTGATAAACTGCTGACAGTTTGCCTCTGTATTTATAGTTGTTATATCATTACATTAATTCTTAGACAAACTTGGCTGGAGGAAATTTTTACACATTTATTTTCCCGTTTTTTGTGGAACACCGTTCCGTTTTTGGTCTTAAGAGAACAACATGCTTTATTTATAACAGAACACAAGAGGAAGTCTGCTTTTTCTCCAGGAAAATGGTTGCTTATAGAAAATGGTCGCTTGTAGAAAAATATGTTGAAGTTTCACACACAAGGCGTAAAATATATCCTCCACTGTGGTAAATATCATGGGAAAAAAGCTTCACGTGACTTCTCCGAGTCGAGTCAATAAAAGGGACTCAATCCCGAAAACCTGCTCATGCGAAACAAAAAAATCCACATGGCTGAGCTGTTGGCTGATAGGCTTAGGCACTTTTGTAGATTACATTGAAGTCACTACTTCCTGTTTCCATGGCGAAAGGAAAACGAGCATCCCCTGGCGAACAGAGTTTAGCTGGCTGACAGTTGAGGTCAGCGCCTTTATTGATCTGCTGAGGTTGGGACAGAAGCCCCGCTTGGCCCTGCGCAATGCCTCACCGCCGCCTGCTGCTCTCCGACTTTTGTCCGATCGGCGTTTCCTCTCCCGCTTTGAGAAGGACGAGCCAGAAGACGAGCGGCGTGTGTCTGTTGTTTTTTCTTTTTTATCAAAAGGGGGGCTTTTCCGCCCCACGCTTCGCTTTGCTCTGTTTCACACCGTTTAAAATTGTGACAGAAGTTGACAAAGGGTATGCCGGGTATCCACCGGCAGTGCACACCTTCTCCTTGCCGGTAGTGAAACAGTTCAGCTGCACCGCAAAAACCTGGCTGGGTTCCTGGAACCAGCGGGGCATGGAGGGGAGAGTCCTTGAGATATCATTCCAGTCACATTGGCAGTGTGTGCGTGTGTTTGTATCTATGTGCACGAGCCATCATGCAAGCCAGTGCACGGCTAACGTGTTTGTGTGAGCGCGTACGCGCTGGAGTGGCTGCCTGCTGGATGTTGGAGCCAGAAGGAGCTGATTAGTTTCTGGTGTCATGACAACTTACAGAGGTCAGCCCTCAGTTTGGTATTCAGGAGCACAGTGGGGGATTATCGCAGTGACATCATCGAGTACGCCCTGTGCTCTGTTAAGCTGGGGCCTTCGCCCAGAGTTGCGCCACAACTTTGTTGAGAATAATGATGAAATAATTAGCAAAAGGTCCGCAAAGTCTCCTGCATCACAGGCTTCCCATGGTTTCCGTTGTATCAATCATCTCAGATCGAGAAGTGCGAATACAACCATCAGAGTGTCTCATCAGTATCTACTTACTGCATCAATTTTTATCCTTTTTCTTTTTAATTTGAACTGTAAGCGTTTGAGCATGACAATGTTATGGGAGTGCAATGCTGAGTATTATTGCATTTGAAAGGAAAAGCTTTATATATTTGTTGTTTAGTTGTATGAATAAATGAAGAATAACACTTGGGCATCACGTAGCCTACCTGACTACACCTTAGATATGCAAAACAATTTCTTAAAGTGAGTTTCTGCAAACACACTGTTGTTTTTACACTTTCACACAAATTAATATTTAACTGATCACTGTGAGACGTGCACACGGAAAAATCTGAGAAGAGTAGAACTAGCAGCTTTTTCCAAACCTCCGGAGTCTAAAGTGTCATCCAGCCCCATGGACGAGCCTGAGAAATCCTTATTGAAGCTCTGGTGCTGCTCCGATAATGAGAGCTCTAAGCGCCGGGCCCCGTGAGGGGCATCCAGGGCCTCTATTGATCCCCCGTTAATTAGTCCGTAGGTGCACATTGGCGCATAATTAGACTGATACTGAGCTTAATGAATGCACACAGCCACCAATTCCGTTGGGGGAATTGTTCACTGCTGGAAGGATGAAGATTTGATGAATCCAACATGAGCTAGTTGGGTCAGAACCATGCTCTTTACAAATATGCAGACAGCAGGTGAGCCGGATGCATACGTGTAGCAAATGTTGCAGTTATTTAATGTCATTTAATGAGCACTGATCAGTCCCTGAAAAATAACAAAAGCAAGCCACCCTTATAACGTACCCTTCACATGCTT